ACTTTCATGATGACGACAGGTAAAAAAAAAGCAAAGAAATTGATTGTCATTGAAAAAACTATGATGATCCTTTACTGTTCAAATTAATCACAGAAAAGATCAAACTATTCGATACAATTTCGTCAATACGTGAATGGAGACGTGAGCAAGCACTTAAGGGATATTCGGTCGGATTTGTGGCAACGATGGGTGCGCTGCACGCGGGACATTTGAGTTTAGGTATATTGATTCAAATATACTATATTTATAATCCATGATTACTAGGCTGTTTGATCATCATTTTATTATCTATCCTTTAATCGGATAATTATAAGTAAACCAGGCAAAAGAAAAATGTGATCAAGTAGTTGTCTCTATATTCGTAAATCCAGCACAATTTGCACCACATGAAGATCTTAGCAAATACCCAAGAACATTAGACACAGATCTTGAGAGTCTAACAGAAACAAAGAGTTGTGATGTAGTATTTCTACCGAGCGTGAATGACATCTATCCATCGGGAATTCCATTAGAAGTAGAGAAGCAACAGGGAACTTTTGTTGAGGTTTTAGGGAAATCACATCAAGTAAATATTTTTTAAACATCAATAAATCAATAATGTCATACTAATTGTTTCATTGATCACATAAATAATAGATGGAAGGTAAAACACGACCAATATTTTTTAGAGGAGTCGCGACAGTATGTTCAAAATTATTCAACATTATACAACCGGATCACGTGTTCTTTGGGCAAAAAGATGCGCAACAATGTGTCGTGATACGAAACTTGATTCGAGACCTGCATTTTCCAATTGTGATGAAAGTCGGCGAGACGCTACGTGAATCAGATGGATTGGCAATGAGCAGTCGAAACAAGTACCTTACTGCCGAGATGCGACCTTTTGCCAATGTACTATATCGAGCATTAACCGAGGCAAAGAATCAATTTGATAACGGAAAGAGAGATCGTAATGAAATATTAACACCTGCATATCAGTTAATTCAAGATGTAATTGGAAATGCGATGAAACTGGGGTTTGAGATAAAGTTGGATTATTTGTCATTGGTAGATCCGAGTACATTGGAGGAACTTGATGTCGTGGTTACGGATTGTGGCGCGATTATTTCGGGTGCTGTTTGGGTTGGTGGGGCACGTCTGATTGATAATATATTGATTAATTGTAGTCTTTGATCTTTATTTATTATTTATATTCGTCGTTTTTATTAATTTGAGAAAATTTAGTATTTATTTATCGACGATTTTATTAGTCGTAGAGCTAATAAAATTTTATAAAGTCAACGAACAAACTCAACTAGCTTCATCAATCTCTATTAAAATTATTATATATTACACTACAATAGAAGTAATCAATTTCATCGTCTATAATCACAACTTTTCTTTACCCTTTTCTTTCGCTTTTCGTTTCTTCAAAACATACAGCTTGCGATACTTTTCGAATCCTTCTTGGAATTTTTTAGGAACCTTACGATAGAATGTGAGCTCACCTTTGTTATCTCGATTGAAGTGGACGTTGAATGCACGTAGAGCACGATTACATTGCGGGACATATCTTCGAGTTATAATGGTTATTGTGAAATATTCATGTTAATCATGTTAATAAATGCCTGATCTCTCAACAATAAGGACAGGTAACAAAAAAACAATACTTTTGTCCAACTGAAATTTTTTCGGTGTATTGTCCACTTAAAAAAAACACGGCGATATAGGATATGGTCGCCAAGAGACACAACTTGCACATGAAATATAGTTTCTCATTCTGTATATATTTGAAATGGTATGAATTTTAGATGAGGAATGGATAGCAAATTCTATTCAATTAGAGAGTTTACCTCAAACTTATTGAAGAAAACAAGGTAACTACAAAGCAAAATTAAACAGCAATTAAATCCTAAGATTGCTAAATCCCAAAATGTATGTACAAGATTAGTCACGAATCTAAGTATAAAAAACGAGTGAGAATAGGAAATTCAAAAATACCTTCATATTTCTGTTGCTGCTTACTCAGCTTATGAAAATTCTGTTTCAATCGTTCTTCAAACACTAGCAAATCTTTAAACTTTTGATTTTGTGAAGGTGAGGGAACACGATTGGCCGACGACGACGAGGCGCTTTGGGTTAGCGGCGTTGTTTCGCCAAACAAATCCGTGTATGTCTGTGCGGTCTCATGTTGTAAGGAGGAGGCAGAGGAAAATAAAGAGGAAGTTCCTGAAGAAGACGAAGCAAATTGGTGTGATCTATTCGACATTTATTATTATTATTATTATTATTTTATGAGTCAACGAACAGGTTAATTAATAATTGAACATTTTATTGGTTTGATTTCTATTTAGCTATTAGTAAAGTCACACAATGACAACGAGCAAATAAATAAGCAATCTAATCTTGCTAATCTTGTCACCCAAACAAAATCACATAATCCAAAAACGTGTGCGCCATTCTCTTAAAAGTGTATCATTATCACATCATCATCATCATCATCATCATTTACTCCCTACCAACCCCATTATCGTCATCCCCATTTTATCCCATTATTGTGAGAGAATCTAACTATTTGTTATTGTTTCTTCTAGCCCTTTTTCTTGTGGTTATATTTTTTGTTGTATTCATATATTTTCGCAGTGTCACTTCTCTATTCTTATTTACATTTTCTATAATACGACGACGACGACGACGACTATGTCGACGACCAAGACCATGATTAAGATCATTATCATTGTCTTTCCGACGTCGCTTACGGGATGAGGTTGCAGCCACTTCGAGATGATTTTCCTCGACAAGTCGCACCCATTCATCTGATGTCCCGATAATTTGGTAATCAATGTACGACTGCCATTCTTTTCGTGCTACATCTGTAGCATTGACCAGTATCACTTTTCCATTTCGGGTGTGTACCCCTTTGGCGAATTGCTTGATGAGTCGTTTCACGCCAGGAATTCGAAGAGACGTACCCATTATTATTAAACAGTCGGATTTTTCTTCGTCCCGTGCGGCTATTTCGCCGATTTGTTCGCCTTGAGGATGGGAATCTCCGTATAGTAGAATATTTGGTTTCAAACGTCCTATTGTATGTTTCCGTTTTCCTTGCCTTTGCCTCTCTGATTCTGTGTTTTGTAATGTGTAGTGTTTAAAGATGGACGTAAGAGAGAGTAAAAATTATCTAAGAGAGTAAAAAATGACAATAAAAGATTGCCTCGCTCGTTTACCTCTCTCTTCACATGCCGGGCATTCAGGTGATTCACCTTGCTTGAAAATTTCACAATGGTATACTTCAAACTCGAAGCTCTCATTGCATGAATTACATTTAAGCTCTTCCATAGAGCCATGAAGCTGTATAACTTTGGCACCACGAGAATCAGCCTGCCAATTCACGTTTAGACCAACAGATTCCTCTAAGTTGTCAATATTTTGTGTGTACACGCGAAGTAGTTTTCCTTGATCATACAATTTTTTCATGAAATGGTGTGTTGGCGTGGGTTTTGCTCTCACCACATATTCTCTTAGGAGACCCATGAAGGCGTGGAAAGCTTTGATTGAAGATTCATTGTGAAGAAGATTTGCATCAAATAGATCTTTACCGGAGCGAAAAGTTCCCGGGTATTTCGATCGGATCATGTTATATAGGCCGTCTGAAGAACGAAAATCCTAACGAGATACAAATGACACATTCATGTTTTTTTCGAAAAGTATAAACCATATGTAAACTGCACATTCGCATGAAAAGTTAACATTTCGGAAATCTCGACGCGAAAATAGAGTACTAACCGGTATCCCTCCACTACAAGAAATTCCGGCGCCAGTTATAATTATACATCTTTTGGAGTGCCTGACCGATTGAACAACTTCATGTAAACTCTCTTGGTCAGTTAGTTCTTCGAGATCTAAGGTTTCAATGTCCATTTCGAACTAGCCAAAGCGTGAAATTGAGTTAAGCGTATATACAGTTGTATGGCCATGTGCCATTTAATGACAAGAACAAACAACTACCAAAGACAACAAGCGGCACACCACTCAATCCGTCGCTTCTATGTAACCGTCCTTAGAGGTTGGTTAAACACACACACACGATATATTTGCCGCTTGTTGGTGGTAATAAATGTTTGATAATTTTTCTGTTATGAGTTAGTAAAATACTGCCATCGAAGTGTTATGAAAGAATATTAACGCGTTTTACGATTGAGCAACGTTTAACGATGCGGGCTAGCTATAATTAAGATTGCAAATGGAAGGAGAAAGAAATCATAAGTAACACAGAAAAAAAATAATTTTTTATATTCGCATGCTCTTCGATAGCGATAGTGGTGTAGATAGTCAGTCGACTCAGTGATGAATTTGTATATGTGCCACGAGTCAACAACAGTTCGTTAGATAATTTTTTGATATTCGTCATTATTTGATGTACACAACAATGCCGAGATTAAAAGGTTATTAGAAATTAAGAGAGAAATATATCAACTTTTTTTTTTTTGGGAAATTCCATTAACATGAAATGCTTAAGATAATTACGATACTATAATTAGAATGAAAGAAAGACAATTAATTAATTAAAGAAGGAAGATAAATAAATGCTAATAATAATAATAAATTATTTATGAATCTCTTTCTTCACACCATTCTCCACCAAGGGCATTATATTTGTTATATTAGTCGTTGCTTTTTGTTGCGGATCAAGATCCATTGGTGCTGCACCACCACTGTTATTATTATTATTATTATTATTATTATTGTTACTATTATTACTACTATGGTTAATGTTGTTATTATTGTTATTGCCTAACGACATCTCTTCTTTCTTTTTTCGTTCCATCTCTGCAATTTCTGCGGCAGTCAAGAATCTACCTCCAGGTCCACGTGGTCTTCGCATAGCATGTTTATGACGCGATTCATGGAGGTATTTCTGTTAGAGATGCATGTTTATTTGGTTAGTTGAGCATAAGAATGGTATATGTTAATTACGAGAATAATATAGATTACAAGGTACCTTACGTCCCCGAGCAATTTTATTTTCAGCTTCAAGTTTCGCACGAGCTGCTCTTCGCTTCAAGATTCGATGATACTATAATTCCCAAGAAACCAGATTAGTTCATCATGTATTTAATTAAATATGATTGATCATAGTTACTAACTTGTTTAGCATTAACATAAAGTGGTTCTTCTTGATCTTCGTTTCCCGTACTAGGCGTAGCATTTGCGCCAGCAGCATTTGCTTGTGCGGGAGGAGTTGTCGGGTTAATGACAAATGGGTGACTACCGGGAGGGATAATCTGCATGATGGAATAATTCAATTATTATCAGCATAAATTCTTGTTCTCTGGGTGTAGTGACAAACTAAGAATCAAAAAAAATTTATTTCAATAAACATGCATGACTTTACCAAGCCATACTGTTGTGCAGTATATGTGACAGTAGTGTTAAAATTACTACTAGGTGAATTTGCTTTTGAAGGTTCCGGTTGAAGAGACTATATAAATATATACATTAATATATTTATATATGTGTTTATCATGTAAAAGCAAAAAAAAAAATATTTATACAAAAATTATGCACGATAAGGGCAAATCAAAATATCAACGGAAGTAAAAAGAAAATCAAGATGAAATAAAAAAACGCTTACAGGGTCGACAACTACACTGGTCGTTCCATGGTTCAACGTGGTAAAAGAGGTGGCAATTTCATAGGTAGCATTTGCTTTCTCATCTGGTTGCTGTTGCTGCTGTTGTTGCTGCGTTTGTTGCTGTTCGCCTGTCTCCTGCTGAGGTTGACCATTTGCTTGAACTTTCCCTTGTGCTTTGTCTTTATTTTGTTCGGTATTATTAGGGGAGGAAGGTGCAGCTGGCGACTGTTGTTGTTGTTGCTGTTTATCTTCCTTGTCCATTTTATAACTAGTTTTTACCAATTACTTAGATGTTTATTTATCTTCTCTTATGGAAGTGGAAGTGGTAGTAGTAGTATTTGATGTTTAGAGAATATGCTTTTCACTTATTTTGAGATGTAAAAGATCAGAGAAAAATGTAGTCCCAAAGTCTAGAACAAGTCATCAAGGAAAAGTCAAGCGAGAAGGATGTCATTTTTACGAGTGGAAGTGCGCAAAGGCAAAGGATTATATGGTAAATGTAAGTAATAGAAGTTAGTCAGTCAGGATAATACGATCTATTGTTTAAGCCAGGGAATACATCTACGTCGAAAAAGTCAAAGCGAAATAAACGTTTTCAGTAGTTGGTTACCTTCTTGTGTTGGTATTGGTTCTTTCTAGTCCAATAAGAAGTGGAGAGGTCCAAAGAGAATGAGTGGTTGAGATAGTAAAGTCGTCAACAATCAATGGTTAGCTTTTGATTTGCTGGCGGGCCTTTATATGATGATGATTTTTTTTCCCTAGTATTAGTGTTAGAATTTACCCCCCGAATTTTGTGAAACATTTGATGCTTCTCGATAACGCATATATTTATGTTTTGTGAGCATTCCTATTGATTTCTATTGGACTACTATGTATCAAAAGACCAATTAGATTACGATTTGTCTGGCTGTGACAATGATTGGATATAATCAATTTTCATTTCCTTTCTTCTTACGATTATTGGTCGATTTTCTTTTTTGTAAAACCTTTGGTTTTTTTATATGATCTATTATTTCCCATTATATAATGATAATATAATGTAGCATAATATATTTTAATAATAATAATAATATTCGCTTACACATTGGATAAGACTACGCGCTGTAGTGATAATAACAAATATCATAAATATCATGGCGGATAGAGAAAAGACAACAACGGTAGCTAAAGCAAAGGTCTATCTGCCATGTTTTGTTCCTGGACAGTTTGACGACGCCCCTGAAGATAAAGATCCTATTATTGACGAAGGTAAAGTTTCATCCACGTGACATTAATCCCATAACAAACAATCAAAGATAAACAAACATACATACAAACAAACAAATAAATCAAAACGAGAAGGGAACATTAACGAATACGATGAAGATGAATCCGAGAAATATAATTATTGCAAAGGAGAAGAAATGGAACAAGAAGAAATTGATGAAGCTGGATACGATGAATTATCGGATGATTTTATTGAAGATGAATTGAACGATAATGAAGAGTGGGCTGTCGCTCAAGGAGGTATGTGTACCGTTTTTTGTTGTTGATTAATATCTAATTATGAGAGATAATCATTTAAATAAATAAATAAATAGATTTCACAAAACAATATAATCGTCTAAAGCAGCAATTGCAGCCAAATTCCGCAGGGTCATCATTTACAACAACGATACTAACACCAAAAACACCATCGACAAATCAAAAGCAATTATTACCCACGTCTGCCAAAAAATCCGCATCTGTTCCCTCAAATCTTGTGCAAACAAATCGAAAAACAATGCAAGCTAATTTACGTGATCAAATGAATTCGTTGAGTAAATACGCAGGAAGAATTCATTTAGGTAATGTGCATTATTATTTCATTTCCATTATTATTATTATTATTATTATTTTGAATCATAAATTTCTAAGTTGTTTATACAATTTTGTATATGCAAAAATTGAAGATGATCTGACTGGTAGTCAGTTATCTACTTCTGTTACCAATGATATAAGAATGAGTAATATGAAAGCACAGGGAAACAAGTAAGCATACAAGCGCATTGAGAAATATATAGATCAATGTCCATTATTCTTCGCAAATTAATTAGGCAAAAAAAAACCGATAAATCTGATCGAGCAACCGTCGAACAAGTGTTAGACCCGCGCACTCGAATAATACTTTTCAAATTGATTAATCGTAATTTCATATATGAGATTAATGGGTGCATTAGCACCGGTAAAGAAGTAAAGAAAATTTTATATTTTTTAATATCTATTCGTTAATTCGCATTCATAATTAAAAAAGATATTTGATAATAGGCAAATGTTTATCACGCACGAACAGAAGCGGGGGAGCATCGTGCCATAAAAGTCTACAAAACGTCAATCCTCACGTTTAAAGATCGTGATCGATACGTCACTGGCGAGTATCGTTTTCGGCATGGATACAGTAAACATAATCCGCGAAAAATGGTCAAATTGTGGGCGGAAAAAGAAATGCGAAATTTAAAGAGGTTGTGTCAAGCACAGGTGCCATGTCCGGAACCACTTTTGTTGAAAATGCATGTTTTGGTTATGGGATTTTTGGGAGATAAAAATGGGTGGTGAGTTTTTTTTTGTTTTATGAAATGTATTCAATTCTTTTTAATCTTTATATATCTGATTTTAATGAATGAATTATTAGGGCATATCCTAGACTCAAAGACGCGAATATCAATTTGGATAAATACCC